TGACTCAAGAGATGAATCATTGTTGTCACATATCAGATAACTTAGCAAAGAACCAATTTCAAAGAACAAAATCTATCTACAATCTATCTATCTACATATTTCAAAAGTATATGGTTATATGTTTTATTAAATGTATTCTCTCCAATAAACAACAACAAAACAAGTAGTTTAAGGTAGTGGATACAAAGCTAAAAGAAATTTAAAATACAGTTCAAATGGGTAATAGTAAGCCATCTACAGTGGAAATCAGTTTTCCTAACAAGTTATGGATAGGTGAAATAGCTATCTAGAAGTCGATAAATAAATAAATAAAAAAATAGCAGACAAATGGTGGCTAAACTCAAAGTCAAAGATGAACATTTGAAATTAAAAGATAAAAATAACTGAGAAAACTAATGATAATTATGTATTGTATCACCCCTAATTTTCTTTATATTTTTCTACAGTGATATTCAATGGTGATCACCTGTTTCTGCAGCACAGGGATGTGTTTTCTTTTGAAAGAGGTCTCCAACTTGGGACATAAGGACTCAGTTGACTACAGTTTCAAATTGCAGATAATCAAGACACGAAGAACTGCAGAGTCAAAGCCTGAAGCTGTTTTGCACGTCTGTCAAGCTCACAGGCACATCTCTGTTTGATTTCAATAGCGGGAAAAGGTGGAGAAGGAGCCCTGTGTTAGTGAGTGGATGGAGAAGCTTCCAGCCAGAGGAGAGCTGCTGGTGAAGAAGAAAGAATTTATGAAGAAGAAAATTGACCACCTAGAGTTTTTTGCCAAGAAAAACAGCACAATAAACAGAAGAGGTGAGCTATTATACAGAAAAAAATATTTATTTAAATAAAGAAAGAAAAGAAACGGGTAGGCAAGCAACAAAACATCAGTCTTAGCTAGCTAAAAGCTAATTAGCTAGTTATTAAACTAACTATCGTTAGCCACACAACCATGAAACAAGAACTAAAACTGGTTATACATTTATTTTGACTTGTTAAAAGTAACGTAAAAGAAGATGAACGTAGTAAAAAGAAAGTACTGGAAAGGTTCAAATGAATTACATGTTTGTGCAGATACCTCAACACATATACTTGAGTCATACTCTCTACTCTCTCTACTCTTTTCAGTCCCTGTCAGAACTATTGCTGTCTTGCTGCAACATTTTGGCTCAACTGAAGGCTTTTCAGGGATTTTTAGGACATCCCGAATTACAGTAGTCCAGCCTAGAATTAATAAATGCATGACCTAGTTTTTCATCATCGGGATGCAGGATGTTAGCGATATTGTGCAAATGTTAGAAAGCAGTCCTACATATGTGTTGCATTGAAAGACATATCCTGGTCAAAAATGACTCCAAGTGGAGGCCAAGGTAATGCCATCCAGAGTTAGTGTCTGTGCAAAGGCCTATAATTAGTTAAGACTGCTGGGTTTGGCTTTTAAAGTAATGGTTTAACTACTGCCAGCTTGAAGGTCTGTAGTACATAGCTGATTATTAGAGCTAGGTTCATCATATTTAAGATTGAAGCATTAATTAATGGTAGGACTTCTTTGAGCAAAATGTTTATGAACCATAGATTCATCTATTAACTTAACCTCACAGTTTTACAGTCTCTATTTTGGGGGTTTTCTGTTTAAAAAAATACTGAAAAAGCAAAGTTTTTCTATTCCTGCTCATGTGCTGTTTTTGTTTCACCGTGCTCTCCTACCAGCGGCTCTGCAGGCGCTAAGAAGAAAGAAGTTCTACGAGAAACACATCAATTACATTGACTGCGCTTTAAAAGCCATGAGAGCCATTTACGAACACATGTGAGGAGAAACACTACAGGAACATGTGAAATAACGCCATGTATGAATGAGAAAGAAGTCTGTCATGGCCTTTGAATGCCGAGTACTAAGATAATTTAAAAAACCAAAGAAACTGTCTGCTGGCTGTTGCAGAGAAATCATTAACAAGGTGAGTGACCTGATGAAGGATATTGCAGAGGAGGAGGATGAGACTGGAGGCATGCTAGAGAGCCTCTGCACACCTGTGGGCTTTGAAGGGGAATTTAATGAGGTAAGAATGATCTTAATTTTTTGAAGACTTCTGCGATTGCACTGATTCTGTGTACCAGAGTTGTTGGGTGCCTGTTGCTGTGTCTCTGTATGTTTTTTTCTCAGGATGAGCTGCTGGCAGAGCTGGAGAAACTGGAAAAGAATGTGGACGAAAACCTCTTTGAGGCGGATGAAGCAGAGGACGGGAACCCTTGTCCCAAAGTGCTGACCACTACTTTGCCTTCCCATCGTGGTAAGACTTGTCGGGAGAGCTTTGACTTTATTCTTGCAGTTGGCTGTGGTGTCTGTGAATTCATGGAGGTTGTGCAGGGATTTCTTTTCTTCCCCAAAGCCAAGATGAACAAAAATAACACAAACCTGTCAGGAAAGGTGTTTTACCTCAAACTCAAACTGTGGATGTTTCAGGCGAATAGATGAATGTGTTGACCACTACTGTCTTCAGGGTTTTGCAGAGAAATCATCACCAAGGTCAATGACCCGATCGAGGACATTATTGAGGAACAAGACGTGACCGAAGACTTGCTAGACAGCCTCTACACAGCTGTGAGATTTGAAGTGGAATTTAATGAGGTAAGGATGATTTTAATGTTTTTTGGAGCTTTTGTTTTTGCAGTGATTCTTGGTTTGTCTGATATCTAGAGTCTGCTTACATTATTGGCATTTGCCTGATGTGGCTCAGTGTGATTTGCTAAATCATTATTATTTTTAAGTCAGGTTTTCCGCTTCTGTGACACTTCTTGACACTTGCTGAGCTGCTGTGTGCCTATTGCTGTCTCTCTCTCTCTGTCTGTCTCAGGATGAGCTGCTGGAAGAGCTGGAGAAGCTCCAAAAGAATCTGGATGAAAGCTTCAATGATTCGGATGGAGAAGAAGCTGTGGTCCTTTGTCCCGAAGTGTTGACCACTGGATCACATTCCCATCCCGGTAAGAATTCCCAGGAGAGCTTTTTCATGATTCCTGCAGTTTGCTGTGCTGTCTACAAATTCACGCAGGTTGCTCAGGGTTTTGTTTTGTTTTGTTTTTTCTTCCTCAAAGTCAACACGGACGAGGAAAACATTGAAGATGATTTAGAGTATCTTCGACGTTGGGCGACTGCACCTCGTGAACGCACCATCAGTTACAACATTTAGAAGAGGCGAGGGAAGCACAGAAACGAATAAATGGGCAGCAGTTTATTGTATTTGTTCATGAGTGTTTGTTTTTTTAATTTAATTTTCATGGACATTTGACTTTCTACCTACTCCAGAGATGCCGGTGAACATGTTGATGTTTATACACAGGACACTACAGAGACTTCAGAATTCATGTTGTAAAATTAAGTATTATGAACACATCCTTATAGTACCATCATTAGTACAACACTACTGGCTTGATAACTAATTGATGTTATGACTTTGATGTTATCTGAACTCACTGAAACTAAGCTACTTTTGCTTTCTTTAAAAACAAAACAAAACTCACCAGTGGCTCCCAGCACATAAGTGTTGCATGTGTTTGCTGTCTTTGAGTCTCACCCTGTTACCTCTGTTACCTGTTGTGTTCTCTTCTTCGAAGACTGTTTCAAAAATAAAACACTTCACTAATGGGGAGGGGTTTTTTTTCCACAGGCCCTTAAAAAGATCTTAAGACAATGGAAAATTAAGCTCAAGGAGGCTAACAGTCCAAATTAAATTTGCCTATGGTTTAAGACTTAAAAACATTATAGCCAATAGCATTCATTTTTACCCGTCAGGCATAATAGGCTGATGGTGTATTGTCATCACCCAAGTTTGCGAATGCAATAACTCAAGAACAAAACGATGTAGGAGTTGTAGGAGCTGCCAGTATTTTCAAAATCTTACTGCCTTGATTTGTTTATATCCTTTTATCGCATCAAAGTATTGATCGGAAGATTCACTCAAAACATGGAGGTAGCCTCCAAGACAAAATTAAGCCAATACAGAAATGCCTAAAAACCTCTATCTGCAGGCCACCAGATGGCGATAGTTGCAGTCTGCAAAAAGTCTTCCCAGTATATAGAAATCTACGAAAAAAACAGGTTTCAGTCTTGACCTCTGCTGAATTTATGATGTCATACAGTCATTTTGGCTGTTGTGGATAAAAACTTAAGACCGCTTTGTTAGTCTTGGTCTTACCATGTTTCCAAATATAGGCTTATCTGTGGTTTGAAAACACACAGTGATTGGTTAATAAGTTGCCTGTCAGACTCACCCTTCTTCGTTTCATGTGGGTTTTTTGTAACAAACATGGCAACAGCAGAAATGCCCAACTTGAGGCTTTAAAAAAAGGGCTTTAGAAACCAATCATGTCCATCTATCATACGGTCTACGCTAATAGCATAATTGGGCTGTCTTCTCCTGGTCCATTAGCGGCTTCACAGTAATATTTAATACAGTAGATTCTAGCACAACACAACCAATGTCGATGTCCACATTATTTTCCTGTTTGGTTCAGAAAGGGAAAGTGGGGTGCTGGGTTAAGAAGGTGACCCATTTATCCAAAGGCCACAGCAAAGGTCTGGGTTTGAGTCTGTCCTTGGAAGAGCCCATTTCCCACCTGCTCTCCTTCTTGTGTACTCTACTGTATACTATAAATAAATAAAGATAATAGAGCCATGATAGTGCGCAATAGACCTTGATCAAAAGTAGTATAGCAGCACTATAGTTAAACATATATAAAAAAATAATAATAATAAAGAATTTCAAGATAAAAGGTTGTCATGCAAAGCTGGAAAAAAATGGATCAAAGCGGCTTCTTCCATTTTCTTGTTGAGTATTTTTTTTATCATAGTGCTAGTACTGGCTTGTTCATAACAGCCTAAATTAAATGCACAATTTTGTCATTGTTTATTATAATTAAATAAGAGTTTATAAAGCCTTAATCCTGTGCTCCCTTTAAATCCAGCCCTCCTTACTGCTGCTCTGAGCTGGTGCACAGGATTAGTGTCACTCAACCAGACAGAGGGAATGACGGAGAAGAAAAGAAGCTGATTAGCCAACCCACGCGGGTGTAGACTCTACGTAAATGCGCTTTGGTGCTTTATGTGCTTTTGCGTGGACTCACTAAATTGTAAGCGTCATGTCTGTGGATGTAGACGAACAGTGCCTCAGCTGACTGAAGACTGATGGGGTCTGGAACAAGTCAGAGGCAAGATTCAGGTAAGAGACGTGATCATCTCATCAGCGTTAGGACTGATAAATTTATGGAGCCATGTTCTCCAAATGTATGATGAATGTGTAGACAGTAGTATTTAATGTGAAATCACCTGTCTTTGTGTGCAGTGGTCAGAAGTCTATGATAACTGTGATAACAGTTTAGTTATGACAGGTTGACTGAAAGAAACAGTTATAATACTTCCGCTTTGATCTAATCTGTGGTGTTAAAAAACATCCAGTTCAAAAAACTCTTCAAATAAACACAAACAGCAGCAGGTGGCTCAAGTATTTGTACTTAGATTAATCTAACAAGACTGTGTATGTACAGATTGTTAAAGAAGAGTTGAGACAAAGGTGTTTTGTACCACATATTTGTTGATGATCATCAGTAGCTTTAATTGTGGTTCTTGTGTGTTATATTTGTATGATCTTTAGCACCTTGAAGTGACTATTGTTTTGATTTGGAGCGATATTAATACAACTGAATTGAATTGCTGGCATAGACCCAACTCTAAGTACCATAATTACAATCCAATTTAAAAGGTGCTATTAGCGTAAGTTTATATAATGTAACAAACTGACAACATTAAAGCAGTTGCGCCAGAATGCCATGCTAAAAAGAAAGACTCTTTAAAATACAAGGGGGAGCAAGCGAGTCAGATACCACGGGCACAGAGAGGAAGCAGGTCTGATCAGAAACAGTTTATTACTAGGCCAGGGAGCACAAATAAAAACACCCTTAAAATGTATGTAATAAAATGTTTGTCAATCTACTAAAACTAAATAAAACAATTCTAAAACCTGTAAAACTACCATTTTCTACATTCACTAAACCCCCCCGTTATAATTTTGCCACATGTTCATTATGGGTCCATCAGCAGGCCAGGAATTCCTTCTTTAGAGCAGAGTCCAGGCCAGCCTCGTCTTCGGCAGCCAAGGAAGAGCCTCCCATCTTCTTGTCCTTCCACTGGCCCATCACATCCCAGCCCAGCTTAAACCTCTGCCCTGCTGCCAATCACACACGTTGTCTCCTACTGTTGCCGTTCCATGAGGTCAGGACTGGGTCGCCGTGTCACGCTGGCCATCTATCATTAACCTTCCAGTCTGGGGCCTCTCTCCTTCAGTGCTCAGCTAGCCTGCTTTTAAAAGGTCTTTACACAGCTGATAGGCCACCTCTGGACACACCCCTGCCTCAGCAGGTGGTCCCTATCAGCTAATTTGTCCCATGTGCAGCCAGTCCACAGTGGATAAAAACCATGTCACATAGAACACTAAAAACCATGCAATAGAAACAGAATAAAACCATGCAAATAAAATGACACTCATAAATAAACACTAAAAATCAGAATAAAAACAATATACAAGACAAATACAAATTTCCACTGTGTGACATATATATAGGCCTACAAACAAACGCACTGGATATCTTCTAGGCAGCGGGCATACGTCACCTGAACAGGTCATTACCAGGTCTGACTGGTAGTAGGCCAATGACAGCCAATAATGATGTTTTATCTTTAAAGGTTTCACTTGGATGTCCAATAAAAACAAAATTCGACTGTATAACCAAAGTGTAATTACTGCAATTGTCATTTCAAAGAAAACAGCCCTAAATCAGCTACTCCTGAAGCTCCTGGAACTATCTGGACATCTTTAAATCCAAAGACAAGGACTAAAAATATGACTTAAATGGGCCTCTTTGGAGACATTGCAAACAAGCATCACTTAAACATAAACTGTTACTGACTGTTTACCAGGCTTTATAGTAATATTCTCTCACTTCACTTGAGCATTTACGAGGGTAGGAGGCTAAGTTAATGGTTTTCTACCTACCAGTTTCAGAGAGCCCCCCCAGTTTAAAACCAAACACTGAGACAGAATCGCCTGACTCCTCGCAGCGAACGCCCATCATACTCATCACAGCTCCATCACGGGACGACATCTACGCCACGCCATCCAAAATCACGATAGCCGATGCCATAAAAGAGCAGCGGCCTGGGTCTGCACCCTTCGTAGTGGGGAAGAAACTACCAACCAGACAGTAACTCCAAATGTCTATCACAAGAGGTAAACTGGAAGGAGAGATGACTGATTATTTGCTGAGCGTGATGAAGAATCACCCCGAAACTGAATCATGACACTGGTGTGCATGTGAGAGCAGCTATGAAGTGCTGAACAGTATTGAGCTTATCATTTTTACCTGCAAATCTTTTACACTAGCCCAACTTACTTTTACTTCTTAAATAATGTGCTTATTTGAAGAATTGTGAGGGCAAGAGATGGTTTAGTGCATGTTTGACCTATGTTGAGCCATTTTGTATCTTTTTGTACAAATTTGTTGTCTCTTTGAAGTCATTTTTATCCTCCCATTGCAGCAATTTTGTAGGTCTTTGGTTATTTTTGATGCTTCACAGTCGTTTTGAGACTCTTTGCAGCTCCTTTGTTGCACTCTGATTTTATGGGCATTTTGTGTGTTTGCAGCTTATTCTCTGGTTGATTGTAGTGGTCACATTCAGTCAGGTGAACATATCCAGTAATTAGGTTAATGACAAAAGAGGGTGACTTTAGTCCACTGTCCTTTGTGCGAGTTTTACAGTGTTCTATTACTATTATTATTATTATCAATCTACAACAGACTGGACTCAAAAGGGACCTGATCTTATGAGCTCCTTATTGCTGATGCACTTCTGGGTTATCTTGTTGTAGAAGTAGAGATATGGGTATTTACAATACAGTGTGTAATGGAAAAAGACACAATTGGTTTGTTAATTGAAAGTGGAAAAAGTCTTGACCTAGACAAAGGACTAAAGGCCAGGATATCTTGGAATCTGCTACTCATGCCAAGCTTGAGAAGATTGGATTACTACCAACACACGCAACTGGCCAGGGACTGGAAACTCCCAACAGTTCAAAGTTTACTGGATATAATAGGCTTATTTTTAACCTGTGGAGGAAATTATCTTCCTCTGCAGGGTGTCTGGGCTTGGTCTATCTGATAGGGTTAGAGTTACGGATTGGTGTGTGGTATGATTGTGTTTCCACAACATAAAAAATATGATATCATTACAATATGATTGGCCACCTGCAGTATTGAACATGAACATGAACCTGTATGTATAAAACATTTTTGGACATCCACCACAAAAAATAATATCGTTTTTAAAATAAAAGTTTAAATGTACCGCAGCCAGAAAAAAAAAGTTTACTAAGACCTCTGTATGTTGTCCAGTCATAAAGTATAGTCGACCTTCAAAGGCCTATTTTCGGCATTGTTCACTGTCCTGAAATACAGCATTCAGTCAGTTTTTCTATATAAATATATTTCAATGTCGATTTTTTAAAATATAAAATATAGTTTTAAAACTATATATTATAATAAAAGGGCAATCATCAGATAGTATTGCCGTATAGCATATTTAATTCACTAATATTTTGTACGTTTCTTGCTGGCTGTATGTGGCCTGTTTTTCTTTAAATGTCAATTATATCATTTCCTCCCTTGTTTTACAGTTTTCCAAAAATGAATTTTTCCAGAATTGACAGGTATCGGTCCAGGTATGGGGCGCAGAAGCCGTTCACAAACTCCGGGAACGCTGTTGGTTGTCCTCCCATTACCAAAACAAACCTCAATGGCGGCTGAATGAGGTGCTGCTGTTTGTAGATGCGCTCTCTTCGGGATTTATTTTAGTCCAAAAACTGCATTTAAATAAAACAATGGACGCGGCTGGAGAGGACGAACCGGACCCCATAAAGCTGAAGTCTCTTAAGGACAATAAAACTTTCACAGTGCCTCAAAATTACAGGGTAAGAGAACGAGCTCCTTCCGTGTGGGTCCGTTCATGACCGTGGTTGTTTAATTATACTCTGCCATCAGCCACGATATTTTACATACAGAATACCAACTGACACAATTTTACAAGTCTAGCTCTTCTATTTAAAAAACCGGCATGCATTTAAAATAATAAAGTTCGCTGTAGAGCTTTCTTTCAGTCCGTATTTACGATACTTTAGCCCTGAAACTGAATAATGCTAACTGCATGCAGCATGCTCCCCATCTAGACTTTATCGGTAAATAAACCGCTTGTGTGTGCATAGACGTAATTGATTAATTAGCGAGGCGCCTTTAAAGGTGAAGTCTGCGCACATTGTTGCCTTGTTTGTCTCCAGCAGCAGCCAATCTCATTACTTAGTTCAAATGGCACATAAGCCTCCAAGTTCAAGCACCCAAATCCACCTCCTCCAGTGATTCCCCCGGCATCCAGGATGCCTTTTAGGAGCTCGAGTCTGATTGAAAAAGTGATCACAAGACATCCAATGGTCGTCTAATGCCAGTTGGCTTTTAGTTAATTTGTGGGGGTTTTGTTTTGTTTTTCGTCCTGTCCCATATAGATAATGGCAAAGTGCCCTGAAAGTCAATTCTTCTTGTTGACTCAGTGTGGTTTGATAGTCAGTGGGCGCTCCCTTGACTTGTCTCTTGTTAATTATTTTAGTTTAGCATCATTAAATCTAAAGGATTTTCACACTTCATGAATGGTTGTAGAAATATCCTTGGGCAAAATACTGAACCTCAATTGCTCCTGATGCATTCATCAGAGTTTGAATGAATGGTTAGGTGAATGGTTGAATGAGGCTTGTAGCAAGAAAGCACAAAGACAGAGTAGAGAAGTGCCAATCCATTTAACCGTTTCATGAATTTAATTTGGCAAACCTGATAAAAACTGCTTCTTTTGACAGGACTGTGACGTGTTCACTGAGTCCCAGTTTCTTTATCTTGTTTTTCTCTCTTCAGTTTGGGAGCTGCAGAAGTGTCAGAGAGTTTGAGAAACTCAACCGAATAGGAGAAGGAACATACGGCATTGTGTGTAAGTTAGACAGCAGAGGAAATACTGAGGACTAACACTTCCGTTTGTCCATGTGACATGCTCTGTAAATAATCAATTCCCTTTTCTCACTGCAGATCGTGCCCGCGACACCAAGTCAGATGAGATTGTTGCCCTGAAAAAGGTGCGAATGGACGCAGAGAAAGATGGTGAGACCATCGCATGCTTTATTTTTTTTTATGGGTATCTCTGATCGAGAGCTTTATTCATACAACTAGATGTAATTTTAAAAAATCACATTTTTGCACCACCATCAACTGAAAAAATCGGTGACATCTGTTCCTGATCTGTCAGGGGTCCCCATCAGCAGCCTCAGAGAGATCACACTGCTGCTGAGGCTGAGACATCCCAACATAGTGGAGCTGAAAGAGGTGGTTGTTGGCACTCAGCTAGAAAGGTACTGCACGGACACACCCACAATAAATGCTTTACTATATAGATTGATCTGATACTAGTCTTATTGTTGCTTCTGTTGATCTTGCAATGTGTGGCCTTTGGGGCCAGTTGCATCAGCTGCTCTTTACTCATATTTTTAACTATGCCTGGGCCCTGTGGTGCCAAACCAGTTCAGCATAGCCAGCAATTAAAAAAAAAAAAAATCATGTTTCACTTACTTTGACTTTTTTAATGAGGCTAAGCTGATGAATTCAATGTTTCTCATTTTCACAGTCACATGAAAGGGAGTAGTGTCGTGGCATGTAACAAATAACAAACATGGACATGACTGCTGGCAGCAGAATGAACTATCTTACAAACAAAGAGAAACTATAACACCAGAAAGAGATGGAAATACCCAGGACCCACTCAGGAAGGGCTGTGAGTGGGTATGACAGAAAAATCATTATATTAATGTGTGAATCTGGCTTCCAGGGGAAATTGCTTTGAGTGACCATTAGGACTTAGTTACACAGGATTCATTAACTGTGTCACTTTATAGATTCTGTGTCAATGAGTTAAAACCAGTAAGAAGCTTTACTTACAAATTTAATATAATTTTATCAAGCACAAGACTTAGTTGCCTGTTTTAGGATTTTCTTTCTGTGTTAAGGCTTATAAAAATAACAAAATAGCTTTAAAAAAAGTCTAAAAGAATAAAAATGAGTAATACGTTTTCTTGTGAACGGTCTGTTTTTCTTATTGTTGCTCTTCAAGGAAAGACAAAAACATTAGACAGTCTCTAAACACTTTGGACACCTTTATTATTTGTGCAAAAAAGTCTAGCTCTCTAAGATGGTGACGAAAAGAGATTGGTCGGTAGGCTCTGGTTTTGTATGTGAAGATCTTGCAGAATAAGTTACCATGGCAATGTAACCAGGTAAGAAGGAAACCACCTTAGTATAAATGAACACCCAGGGTTAAATCTGATGTTAACTTGCTGATTACCAAATCCTGCTTCGTACTTCAGAGCGGTGGTATAGAAATCTGCTGGACTGTGGTCACACACACAAACCAGCAGTCTAAAGAAACCTTTCTCCTCGTCACGTTGTGCGTCCAGCACATTTCATTCTAAAAGTCTGCTTGTTTTTGAAGGGTCTACAACATTGGTTCAGTTTGAGTTTATGTCCACTTTGTATCAGGTCCCTGAAAAAAGAAGACTCATGTTTGAAAGATGCCACTGATTTAACTAAAACTTAGACTTAAGCTCAGGTGGTTAAACTGGTGTGTAGCCGGTATAATATAGATTGTTGTTCATTGTTTGTTTCCCCAGTTTTTGTGACCTTAGTCGCCTGAATCGACTGTGGTTGTGATTTGGCGCTGTATACATAAAATTGGATTTAATTTAATTGTTTTACTGTCTAACATAAACTTTTTAAATCTTTTTGGATCTTTTCAGCCTATTTCTGGTGATGAGTTACTGTGAACAAGATCTGGCCAGTCTGCTGGAAAACATGCAGACGCCATTCTCAGAGGCGCAGGTAAATCAAACTCATACATTCCTGCAAGTTCATTTCTACCTAAAGTGATTGCTATTATTTTCTTGTGTCTGCATGTGAGTGTAAAAATGGATGTTTTGCTATTAAATGGCCTCCGTATTCATGTACAGTAGAAGTTGATGCAACCAGTTATTCCATTATTTTTTTTTTTCTGTTTTGTTGTGTTCCAGGTTAAGTGCATCGTTCTCCAGTTGCTTAGAGGTTTGGAGTATCTCCACCACAACTTCATTATTCACAGGTTGGTCTCACACCATTACGAGGACCAGCTGAAGTTTTAATTTGTTATTATCATAATTGTTTAAAATTTGACATTTTAATTAAATAATCTTAAGTGTAAAGTAGTGGACCAGATTACTCTAATGCAGAACTGCCAGTGACTGCAGTTCCCCTTCTGTCCACTGGGCTGTGTTTGTGCTGTTGGTGCCTTTTAGAGTATTTTAACACAATTATCTGACAAATAATCTGGTTTGCTACGAGGTTCAGATCATCCAACAAGTTTTTGGGTTTTGTAAATGAAATCAGAGAATTTAACATTTTTGTTGTACCTTGTTGTTGAGCCTTCCTTTACCAGAGTTAGAGTGTTGGGATCATAGTCTGAGGTGAAAGGCAAGAAGCTATTTACTGACTCTCTCCATTCAGCTTGACTAAGCCTGAACAAATCTTCCAAGAGAAAAGACATGCTCCTGCTGCAGGACGAGTTAGAGCAGAGCTGTGCTGCATAATGATCTTCCTCTAATCTTGTTATTAGAGACCTGAAGGTGTCTAATCTGCTGATGACAGACAAAGGCTGCGTAAAGATTGGTGAGTCACCTCTGTTATCATATCTCTTCTGCAGCTTTTACTGTAATCACCTTATACTCCTACTGACATGCCTCCCAAACCCTGCCACTGCTGAACTTTGACCTGTCACACAGTGACAGTGATGGCTGAAGTGTTTTTTTTTATCTATCAGTGTTGTTGCCACCATGATTTAAAAAAGAAACACACACACACTTTTTTCATTGTCAGTTTTAAGGAAAACTGTAATAACAGGTGTTTTTTT